ATACTTGAGGCATTCTAACCACACTTGGTTTAAAACTAGTACTCAAAGAGACAATAAAAAGATGAGCTTCAAGCCTTCAAAGAATCATTTACTTGAGATGATAGTGGCTAATTTGAGCAATTGAATGATAAGGAACAAGCCATTTAAGAGAAAGTACACATCTATAACAAGAAATTCAACATAATCAATTGAACAAGTTTTGTTCATACCAATTTTTAGAGAGTTATAATGGTTGCGTTTGGATGATCTTTGGATATGTTATAAAGAGGATAATTTGGAGTAACTATCATGAAGAAACCATAGTGTTTTGAGCTTTCGAAATGAGTGTTCTGGACTGAAACCAAGGGAAGGAACTAGGGACGAAGACTATAAACAAGTTCCACTCTAAACGTTCCCAAGGTGGCTATAGAAGTCCGATCAATCTGAAATTTTGATATGTTATAATAGACAGCATTTCAAACAACTTTGATGAAGGAACCAAAGTCATTTGAGTACAGGACATCACAGAAACAAACTTAAACCGAGCATACTGCTGTGAAATCAGGAAATGGTAAACGTATTGTGATCATACCAACGTTTCAGAGCCTATACTAGTCGGATTGAGCTGAAATTTGAGTATTAAATGAACAACTTTTATGAAGAACGTTTTCTCATTTGAGCTTCCGAAATTTGAGTTCTCGGCTGCTCCAAGGAAGTGACGAAATTTTAGATTTTGAAGAGGAACAAAAGAAGAATAAGGATGAAACTAAGGTGAATGAGGAAGAAAGGGATGATACAATGAATGATGAGGATAAGAGTAAATTCATGATTGAAGAGCCTTAATTAGACTAGGTGAGTCATCCATTTAGAAGAGGGTGCTAATACAATGAATGGGAAGGAAGAGAATAAGAAAGACTCTTAGGCTAGGTGAGTCACCATTTTTAGACTAGGTGACTCACTCACTATAGGTTTACAACTCATCCCAAAATCAGATTTTTGAAGAGAATGTAAGTGGGAAGGGGGGAAGAATGAAGGAGAGAAGAAATGCTTGGCTTACACGTTGCCTCCTTCTTTCTTTCTACAAGGGTATTTTGGTAATGATCCACACCTAGGGGTATTTTGGTCCTGTTTGTCCAACTTGAAATTAAACACACTTAATTTAATAATCTCAATCCAAAATCACTTGATAAAATACCCATAATCATTCTCCATCATTATTTTATTATTTTTCACTAAAATACGAAAATCCACCTTGAATTTTCCAGGGTATTACACACTCTTATAGGGCCTACTTTGTATTGTATTTCACTAATTCAAACCATCTATTTTGTAGATATTCATTCAAAGATCAACTATACAAAAAAAACACTTGAATACGATATCATTTGACCACTCAATTGAATTATTGAAATTTTAGTACTTTCTTGAAGCACCGTATTCATTGATTTTCTAGGACACAATTGGATGTTGAAACGGCTTTTGATTTGTGTAATTTTTTGTAAGGATGATCTATGAATATATATATATATATATATATGAGTTTCCTTATATATATAATGTGTTTCCTTGTATATATATGTACCTGACATACAAGTAATAGTATTTTTCTTGAGTTTTCTTAAGCAATTTTTATGGAGTTTCTTTTATATATATATATATATATATACACGCACACACAAAACAGTAGTGCCTTCTAGATAACATTTTTTTTCTTGGGTTTTTCAAAGCAATTTTTATGGAGTTTTATGTCAATAAACTCAAGTGTGGAGGTGTGAGTTTCTTTTTTCTTTTTCAGTAACCATTTAAATAAGTACTTGTTTACTTCAATTATGAGTTTGAAAATCCAACCAAAGGTATTATATGAGTTCAATTATGTGGACTAGAGGGAATTTATGGGACTATGTGCACAAGAGCTTGTTATTAAACACAAGAGGTGTATGCACAGGTACCTTACCTATTGTTAATGTATGAAGTTTCAATGAACTCTAATTACACATTTTTGGTATACCCTCGGAAAATTTCAAAATTCAATAAATAGATTTGCAATTAAATTAAAATCAAATCTCATAACTAATGTCCTATAATTCAATAACTTACTGTTTTTACAAATCCATAATTTACCTTATTTATGTTTTATTGACATAATTGGAACAACAAAATAATTATAAAATAAATAAAATAAAATTTAAACATCAATAAATCAAAAAAGGTATGCAATCTTATGTGGTGCAAAATTAGAAAAATTTGGATCAACAATAATTTCTGCGTGAATTGAACCCAAAATCTCTCATCATAATTGGACTTATGCCAAATTTTCTATAAATCTGATCACATATGAAAAAATTACAATAGATAACAAGTAGACCATATACATTTACTTTACAACCCACAGTACTACAATATATTAACTTACTTTATTTCACGAGCCACTCGCAGATAATAATTAAACATCACACAAAAAGTTCTGTAAGCACACAAAAAAGTTGCAACAGATAATAATTAAACATCACATAAAATGTCACCCAATTATAGCCCATCTCCATGAGGCGTTATTTGCATAATGCTGCTATCTACACTGGTTATAATACCACTGAACCACCACCATCACCATCATCACCATCATCGTCACCCAACCGAGTTGAAGCAGATGGCCCAACCAAGTTGCCGGTATCGGGAGATGGAGTGATATTAGCCTCGACTTGGATGTTGTTCCATGGTTCGCACTAATCCTTCGAGCTCCGCGGCTACTTCTTTCATGGATGGCCTTTCCTCTCTTTTTTTTCTTTTTTTTGGTGAGTTTTCCTCTCTTTTTTCCTTTAAGCATCTTATTGCCAGATCTGCTGCCAATTTTGCTGTTTCAAAATGTCCCTCCACCATTTTTTGATCAAGAATTTCAGCCAAGACTCCACTTTCCACCTTGGAAACAAAGACATTTACTAGGTTTCTCTCTTCCTCGGGCTTACTGCTCGTGAGTAGCTCCGCTAGCACAACTCCAAAGCTATAGACGTCACTCTTTTTTGTTAGTGTGTTTTCAGGGTCTAAGTATCCTTGCGTCCCTTGACATGAAGTTGATAGTTGATTCTCATCCTCAGAAACCAGTATTGAAGCTCCAAAATCCGACAATTTTGCTGTAAAATTCTCATCTAATAGTATACTAGCTGTTTTCACATCTCCGTGTATGATTGACGTGGAAGTGGAGTGGTGCAAGTATGCTAGTGCGTCTGCTGCTTCTGATGCTATCTGCAATCGTAATTCCAATGAAAGTGGTGGGTTCTTTGGGTTTTCTGGGTTTTCTGGGTTTTCTGGATGAATACGCTCATAAAGAGTGCCCTTGCCCATGAACTCGTAAACCAGTATTGGTGTTCGGGTCTCAAAACAACAACCTACGAGTCTCACAACATTTTTATGGTTGATTTGAGAAAGAACAATCATCTCTTGAACAGATGGCTCTGTCGCGGGAATTTGGGGATTAGGTTTTGGCTTCTTTATGGCAACCAATTGTTTATCTAGTAATCCTTTGTAAACAATTCCATAGCCTCCTTCACCAACTTTTCTACTTACATGATAATTGTCTGTGGCCTCCTTAAGTTGTTCTTCAGTAAAGGTTTTGGCTGCATATCGAGGAATACTAGCTAGTTTCTCCCTAAAGAGTAAGCCACCATTATCTTCAAAGTATTTTTTTCTTATTACAAGGAACTTTTTTTCCCTCATGTTGCGAAAGGTCCAAAAAATTCCAACCAGTAAGACAAGGAAGCCCAAAGACGCACCTGCACGAATTGAAAATCGTAGTCAAAGTTGATTTTCGTAATTTAATAAGGGAGCTGATTTTATCACTCCATTTTTCTCCATTTACATTTCCTTTTGCTTTTTAATTCTTTTTAATCAATTTTGTTCTTTTTATTCTTTCTCTTTCCTATTTTACATTATCCTACATTTGTTTTTTTTTTACTTCACTTTTATATATATTTTTTAATACTTAATTTTCCAACTTGCACTCCTTTTTTTTTTTTTTGCTTTTAATTGATTATTTTTATATTTGTCTAGACAAAATTATATAATCCACCTGCTGCAAAAACTCATGCCCAAGGAATAAACCTTGCAACCATAGTTTTTTTATTTTTTTTATTTTTAAAGGAAACAAATTTTAGGTGGACACGAAGAAAGACTGAACAAAACCCTCATTTACTCAAATTCAAATCAGAAATATATAGTGTATTAACAAATCTTGTTCTTGTTATCTAGTGTCTTTTGAGCTTCAAAAGTTAAACAAACTAATATATCGAGATTAAATATTGTTATATGCATTCAGAGGATTTTTGTTTTAAAATTTTACATATATTTTACTTCGGGTCTTTTAATGGAGTGTTTTTATCTGGCCCCTAGTATTACTGCTCTTCCTTAGACAAACTTTTTGACCCATTTTTCATTTCTTTCTTTTTTAACTCATAAATGTTTTTTTTTGTCTACTTACTATTTTGTTTGAGAATCATGAATAATTAACTGATTGTGCGTTGAATATATGTTTTGTATGGCCTACGTGTTTCATAAATGATACGTACCATAAAATAAATAGATAGGATCCATGCTTATATGTAAATAGCTAGCTCTAGTTCATACGTACCCAGCGAAATTTTCAAGTATTTTTTTGGATCGGGAACTTTGATGCACTTAATATTGTCCACGATTTGGTAGCCACTATCACAATCACAAGTGTAATTTCCATCTTTATTTATGCACTTCCCATTCTCACAGAGGGTCGCATTCAAAGCGCACTCATTAGTATCTGAAAGAAATAGTAAAACTCAAATATCATAGATCCATCAAGAAGAATATCATTAATTTTGAGCTTTAGTTATTAATTCACACATATATTATAGTGGAAAATTTCTGTTTTGAGACAGTTGAGTATATTGCTCGAATGATAAAATTACAACTATTATGAAAAACAAGGACTCTCTAGTTACAGCACAAAGGTTATCCTTAGCCACGTGAGACCTTCCTTTATCAGACACTAGGAGGTTGGCAGGCAAATGAATTATTTACTTCAAAGGGCAAAATTGACATAAGATAAAAAATTCTCTGGATAAAATTTAATAATTAATAGTTGAATTATTTGGACTCAGAATCCAAAAACCCCCAAAAAGACAAAATAATACTAATGGAGTGGTTAAACAATTTTCAATTTTACTAGGTAATCAAAATAAATAAATAAATATATATGTATACCTTGGCAATCATGGAGGTATGGGTTCCCTCGGAAGCCTGGATTGCAGACGCAAATGTAACCTGTAGGCCTGTCTAAGCAGATACTGTTTCCCTTGCATGCATAAGTGCCGTTCTCCATTGCATATTTACAGTCCGTCTCCCCAATTTGCCAATCAAGAATCAGGGGAAGCCGGGGTGTATTTCTGAGTTCTTGAAAACTTGTATTGCTGAATGTGAAGTTGCCCTTTTGCACAACGAAGGCGTAGCCGCAGGGGTTAAAGTCCCATACAAGCGTATGGTTTTTAAAGCTTCCCACCGTCACAGACAGGTTGGTCAGCAAAGGGGGGATCTTCGTTTCGCAACACCCCATGCCAGAGCAAGGGTCGTCCTCATCAAAGGCGTTGATACTAATATCATAATCACATTCGGAGATGCAGCCTGTTATGTAGTTTTGATAGCCCCGGCTACCATAAAGTTTCGCGTACGTGTCACAACCAATCACATACATCCTGTTTTTGTAACTAGAGGCGGTGTAAGGAGTATACACCCTGAGCCCGCCCTCGCTTGGGTCTTCGATGTCGTTTGGCTTGCCTTGGCGGTCATAACAATCTCTATTTACTAACTGCCTTGTTTGCAGCTCGCCTTCTTCAAGGGATATGTTGGTGACAATCATAGGGGTTGTCATCAATTGGGGATTTGACCCATTGCAGGTGATGTTGAATTCGTGTCGAAAGTAACAACCGTCACCAATGCCAAATGGGTATGGAATTGTGACATTACCACATTTGGCTTTGCAACCAGGCAGGGCTATAGCTGTTTCATCTTCTTCTCCTCCTTGTCTTGCGCTTGCTCTTGTTGTTGCTACAAGTAGTGCTAGCAACATTATTGAAAGTTGCATAAGCATTCCATATTGAAAGGCCATATGTGCATACGCATGCACCGTATGTTATGTGTCTAATTGTTTTCCTAAGGAAACTGAGGCAAAGCCTGGCCTATTAATATATAGAGCGGAAATGCCCTTACTAACCCAAAACATAAAGCTTCATTTGTCATGAAGACTCGATTCATGATCAAATCACGGGCCAAAGCTGCTCACTACTAGAAAGTGTGAATATCTCAAAGAAAAAAAGGAAGAAGAAATTTCTTGCTGTTTGTTTACTAAGAAAATTGAGGAGGAAAGGGAAGGAAAAGAAAGCGAATTCTGTCTATTGTTTTGCTCTGGTTTTCTACTTATTTAATGCACTCATCGTAGTGTCTGAATTTTATTAAGGCAACAAATTCATCCAAGGATCTAGCAAAGTATGTTCTGTCAAAACAGTGACGGTCAATGGTCAAAATCACTGATGTTCACATTCTTCTTTCCTTTCTATATCTTTAAGTCCTTGCTATGTTAACGATTAACAATGTTGATTATTGATAGGAATTCCTGCTGGTGATTAAAATCTGAAATAGAATTATAACACATTTCCTAGAATTTTCGTTACTCTTTTTCAAAACCAAAATTAGTTTTAAAAAAATGCCAGTGAAGATTGATGAAAAAAAGTTAAGAAGAATGATTTGTTTTTTCCTAATTGGTGGAGAGACCACATAAAGCTAATATCATAAGTTGTACTTGATATATCAAATGTCTTCTTTATTTTTGCAAGCCCACAATACACCACTATGCTGACCTGGCTAGTTTTATTTTAAGAGGAACATTACCAGGAACAACTTTTCTTTTTTGTACTAATTAGTGACCAAGACCTCTTTGTTCACCGCATTCTTTCCAATGTACCTATAAAAGTTTTTTTTACTTCTAATTCATGGATTAAAAGCAGCCGCTGACAATGTGGCGACAGCAAAGAATAATCAATTTTTTTTATTTATGGAATATATAGTCAAAACGACAATACTAGAGACATCAAATTGTTTCACGAAATGATTGTTTTTACTTCTAATTCATGGATTGGACCATTCACAGCATATAAGTAAAAGGAATTAATAAGCAAATTATAGATGGTGCATCGTCCTAAGTTGCACATATATGTTTACAAAACAACTTGCAATACATGATGACCTCGTGCATCACACTATTTATATATAGCTTTACTGGCTTGGATAGCAAACGTTGCAACCAAGTTTTTCTTTGTTGACAATTGATCTTGACTGGACCAAACTAATGCTAGAGACAGAGAATTCACTTATGCTTATCTTATCTACATGTCCAAATTTCCATCTCCCCATTGGATTAGAGACGCTTAACTTATTACTTTTTGAGTGAGCATGTGATATACATTGGACATTAATTTACACATGATTGTCCTCCTCAATTGGAATAAATTTGTCTGTTGCAATAATGTTGTTGCATGCAGTCTACGTCTGGGTCCTCTCCATATATGTAACAACCATATAATTTAGTCCCACCCAAAATTCCAATTATTTCGACGTCGATGCATATACATGCATATGCATGGTCCAATTCATCCTTTTACAGCTTGCATGGTCCAATTCAATCCTTTTACAGCTTTTTCAGATATTAGTCATGATCATGAAGCACCCAAGACACACATCACCTAGTCTCTTGGAGGGAATAAAAAAATAGTATTATTGATTGGGAAAATAGGGTGGTTTCAAGAGAGGAGAAAGAAAAAAAAAAAGGAAGCGTTTTGGAATGGAGAAAGAGAGAGGTAGGAATCTTAATTAGGAAGAGAAAAATCCTTGGGAAAAAAAATTGTTTTTGACTGGAAAAAGAGATAGGTAGGATAGTAACTGGGATAATAATTGCAACTCACCTTCCTCAGGGGATATGTTAGTAACAGGGACATTGCTATGCATCAAATACGCAGTTGGGGGTTTCGTATATTCGGAACAATTGCTAATAAAAAAAACCTTATCTTCCTTGTAACAGCCTGCATCCATGCCAAATGGAAATGGAACGGTAAGATTACCACACTGGTTCTGGCACGAGTCAGGCCGGGCTTGAGCTGCCGCCGCCGCTGTTGTAAGTTGAGCAGCTAATGCAACCAGTACTCCCACCATTAGCAAAGAGTTCTGCATAATACGCCTACCCTTTCCTTGTAAGGCCATGCCTTAATTCCTTCTACAACCAGCGTTGTTGTGTTTAAGTTGTGAGTAAAGAAACTACTAGCAGGCCTGGCCTGCCTTGATCAATGCTTGCATATATTTAGCGTTAGACTCAACTACACAAAAGACTATATCCTTCCCATTACCCTCTTTTCCATACTTTCTTTATCATTCCAAGAATTCCAACCATCACCGATAACGTATGACCATGATAATAAACAACACTTAAACACCCAGTATCAATAATAATCAAATAATAATATCATGCATAATATAGTGCTCACGAAATTTAATTACATCAATCCCCGTAAAGGCACCCCAAGAAATCCCTACCTCGATTCCAAAGCATTGCTCCAAGTTAAGAAAATACGAGCTAAGCCCCAAATCTCCTTGCTCCTATTTATAGTGGTTATAGGGATAGGATAAACTTCAATATTAAAAGGATAAGAACATCGAAGTTTATCCAAAAGATAAATATCCTAACAAGATAAGATCATCCAAGTTTATCCAAAAGATAAATATCTTAAAAAGATAATATCATCCAAATTTATCCAAATGATAAATATCTTAAAAAGATAATATCGTCCAAGTTTATCCAAATGATAAATATCTTCTTTTATCATTTTAAAATACGGGTCTTCACAGAAAAATACTTAGTGATAAATCATGTTACCTATAAGTTAGGAACATAAATTAGAAAACTACCTATAAGTCAGATAAAAAAATAGAAAACTACCTATATCTCCGGTACATAAAAAAGATAAATGGTAAATCGTATGTTACCTATAACTTAGATTCATAAACAAAAAGGCAAAAAAGTGTGGTACCTATATCTCATGTATGTCAAAACACAAGTCAATTAATAACTTTTTTTTTGTTAAAGGAATATGTTACCTATAATTTAGATATATATATGAAGAAAAATATATCAAAAAATGTATTACGTACCTATGTCTCTGGTATACTATACATAAAAGAACAACTAAAAAGAACAAAATAACTGAACCTGATTAAAAGTTGAGCATATATTCAACATAAAATAATAATAATAAGATTACCTCATTAAGAGTTGTTGGATGAGGAAAGAAATATAATATTGGCTAATTATCTCATTAAGGTAAGTAATCTAAGATAATGGGCAATATTGGAACAAAAAATGATTTTAAATATATAAAATAAAAAGATTACATCAGACAATATTCAAAAAGGAATGTAATCCTATGTGGCACAAAAGTCAAAGGACTTGTATCAAAATCACCAAATCCGAGGATTAAACCCAACTTCTAGATGAGAATTTGGATCTATATCAACTTTTCTATTGAATAAATGAGAAGCTTGACTAGAGGCATCATTTGTGGAAACATGTATGGGGTAAGTAGTGTACCTTTATTTTTATCACAACAATAGTAATAGAGGCATCAACTTTTTTCATAAATTCAATTCACCAAATAATGTGTCACGACAAATCGAGATGTTCTAATATGATTTTTCGTAACTATTTGAATTAATTGGCAAAAAAAAAAAATCATGATTGATATGAAATTATTTCGAGGTCTACATGACGCGAATTAATAGAAAATCCGGAATAAGTCCAAAATTTAGAACATAAAATTGGGTTTAATCCTAGCATTTGTTGCCATCGATATAAGTCGTGTATAAATTAATTTATAGGACAATAATTACGAGATTTTATTATGATTTTAATATAAGGTTATACATAGGTTAATAAATCCCATAATTTTAGGACAATTTATTATTTTGGAGATACAACAAAATAACAATTTTTATTTTTGTTTATCCAATGGTACAGGTATATTATATACCCTTGTACATATATTATCCTATGTTGTAGGTATATTGTCCTATTGCCTGTTCCATATGTATATATGTGTGTGTGTGTGTTTTTTCATATTTTCAACGACGTGTAATAGTATTTTATGTATTTTTTTAATAGGTAACCTACAATTTTATTTGTCTATTTTTGTATCTAACTTATTGGTAGTCCTCTAATTTATATTCCTAACTTATAGATAACACGATTTATCACTAAGTTTTTTTCGTTGCTAATAATAACACTATTTACCTGTATATCATGTACATAATTTCACGTGGGTGCTTGTTTGATCGATTGGTATAATATGTGGGTTTTTACTTTTGATTGATTAAATTGTATTTTATCCATATATTAGGTAAATATTATCAAGGAAAGGATTCAAAATTTAAATTCTGAAATTCAATTGCAAAGAAATAATGCATTAAATTTAGATTTTCAATGTGTTTTTCTTATTTACCTCAAATGGTAAAATCGACACAACAAAAAAAATAATAAATGTCAAAGGACTTATATCTAAAACCAAAAACGCATGGACTAAACCTAATAACAGCGAATCATTTTGGACTTAGATCTAAGAAACCCAAATATTATATATGGTGATTGAACGTACAAGATAAAGTGGCGTGGCTTTACAAAGACTTCAGATAAGATAAGGGATGAAGACTATCACAATCATTACTAAAAAGTGTGAATAATAATTAACCCACTGGAAAGAATGCCGGCATTGTCGTCCATGATGAAGAATCAAGATGGAATAAATTTAAAAGCATCTAGGATGCTCTTAAGACTGGTAAGCATCTTGTCGGGTCGTCTTTATTTAATGCCCTATATGTTTTGTACAGCGTCATACTTTTTCAGTGATCATGACATTGGCATTGCATAATTCACATCATGGTCCTCCTCCAGCTAGTGGTACAAATTTGTCCGTTGCAATAATATAATATGTTGCAATCTACGTCTAGGTCGTCTCTAACTTGTTGGAAGTCCATGAGCTATCCAATATAATTTAGTCCCACCCAAAATTTCAATTATTTGGACGTCGATGCATGCATGCATGGTCCAATTCATGCACAACTTTTTCAGATTAGTCATGAAGCACTAAGCTGATCACTACTAAAGCTTAGTGTGAACATGATTTTTCCTCCTTAATGTTGTTCTCATTTTCTTTTCCCACAATTGCTTTGTCTAGCTTTTTGGAGTGATCAGCTTTTGTAATGAGGCGAATAAATTGACAACATAACCCTTGAAGACTTGAGCCACAATCACGGGCCAAAGTTGCTCACTAGAATATCTCAATGCAAGAAAGAAAGAAAT